ATCAATCTAGGACCTAAGTTGTCATGAATTTTATTATTATTTTTATCTGTAAACAAAGAATTGTATGCAAAATTGGACTCTAAGGAAGGAGAAAAAGATATTTGCAGACTTGCTCGTCTTCGTGGCCGTAGGATTCAAGATATCGGAGAAGTTAATTGTGTGAAGGATGTCGAGCAACGAGTACTAATGGAGGACGGGGAGATAAAAGAGAGGTGGAGGTCATACTTTGATACACTATTCAACGGGAACAAAGCGCAAGATATCGGTGACTTGACCATACCGGATTGTATGGTAAATCGTGATTTTGTGAGAATGATCCAAACAATGGAAGTTAAAGAGGCTCTGAGGAAGATGGGGCGGAAGAAAGCAGTGGGTCCAGATGGCATATTGAACGAGGCTTGGAGAAGTTTGGGAGAGAGAGGCGTCGAATGGTTAACAAGTTTCTTCAACATTATTTGGAGAAACAACAAGATGCCAACGAGCTAGTTGGAGGAAGAGTACTCTTATCCCCTTATTCAAGAATAAAGGTGATGTACAAGATTGTGTCAACTATCGAGGGATTAATTAAGCTTATGAGTCACACCATGAAACTTTGGGAGCAAGTGATTGAGCAAAGACTTCGAAGAACTGTAAAGATTTCAGAGAATCGATTCAGTTTTATGCCTGGTCGTTCAACAACTGAGGCCATTCACCTTCTTCGGCAACTTATGGAGAAATATAGAGATGCTCATAAGGATCTGCATTTGGTGTTCATTGACTTAGAAAAGGCTTATGATATGGTACCTCGAGAAGTTCCGTGGTGGGCCTTAACTAGAAAAGGCATATCACGCAAGTATATCAGCATCATCATGGATATGTATGAGGACTGTACTACAAGTGTTCGTACTATTGTAGGGAGGACTGCGGAGTTCCTTATTACTATCGGAGTGCACCAAGGATCGGCTCTGAGTCCTTTCTTATTTGCCATAGTCATGGATGAACTTACGAAGTCAATTCAAGATGAAATACCGTGGTGCATGATGTTTGCCGATGATATTGTTTTGATTGATGAGACGCAATCAGGTCTTAAAGCAAAGTTGAAAGTATGGCGAGAACAAGGAGATACCGGTCAACGATATGTTCCGTTACATGGAGTGCATGAACAAATTAAACATTGGAGAACAAGGGTTTCAGACTAAGTCGAAGCAAGACAGAGTACACGGAGTGCAAGTTTGGTGGAGGTAAGAGCAGTGGTAGTAGCAGAATCACTATAGATGGTAAGGAGATACCGGTCAACGATATGTTCCGTTACATTGGCTTCATAATTCAAAAGGACGGTGAGTTAGATGGAGATGTATCACATAGAATCATAACAGGGTGGATGACGTGGAAGAGTGCGTTAGGATTTCTATGCGATAGAGGTATGTCCACTAGACTGAAAGGTAAGTTTTATAGGACAACAATTAGGCCTGCATTACTGTATGGCGTAGAGTGTTGGACTGTGAAACAATGTCACATTCAAAAGATGAGTGTGGCGGAGATGCGCATGCTGCCTTGGATGTGTGGGCATATTAGGAAGGATCACATAAGGAATGAGACAATCAGACAAAGGGTGAGAGTAGCACCTATCGAAGACAAGATGCAGGAGTCGCGCCTACGATGGTTTGGTCATGTGTGTAGAAGACCGATTGATGCACCTGTCAGACGAGTTGAGATGTGTGGAGAAGAGGCAAGGAAGAGAGGGAGAGGTAGGCCCAAACAGACGTGGGTTAGGGGAGTCCGAAGTGATATGCTTCTTCTCGGGTTAGATGAGGGTATATCGTATGGCTTTGGAGAGAGCAAAGTGGAGGGCAGGTATTTATGTGGAGGAGTGATCTCGTATCATCTTTTCCTCTTTGTTTTTTTTCTTTCTTTTATCCTTATATATATAAACATTATTTTTATCCTGTTTATTTTATCTTTTTAGGTATATTCATCTCTTTTTATATTATCTTTTTCATAATAGCTTATCTTTTTTATCTTTATTTTCTTTCTTTTCCTTTTGGTGGTGATATCATGTATCAATTCATGTTAGGCGACCTCAATATCTTTTGGGACTAAGACTTAGATGTTGGTAAATATTTATGTGGTTGAATTTGGTCTGGTCAATGGTCAAAATCAGTTTTACATCCCATAAGTCTGTAATTCTTGGTAAATATTTGTGTGGTTGATTGCACATCGGTTCACTAGCTAGTTACTCTTGTGAGTACTTGCATTCATGTTTTTTACTCCTTTTTTATTGTTTCTATCGTAAATTTCCATTAAAAATGACACAAGAAGCTAATGCTCGCTTGAGGTGAGATGAAGCATTAGTCGTGCGACCACTCAATGAAGCATTAGAGTTTGGGAGCTCGAAGATTATTATTTGAGAAAATCCAACCAAATTCACTATATGGACTTTATTGCTTTCAACACAAGGGATGTTTTTCATTTCGACTTATTTTAGTTACAGATCATATGTGATATAAATAGAGTAGATTAGACCAGATACAAATATATCAGTCTAATATTTCCTTTTTCCGTTAAAATTAGATCATGTTTGATAAGTGCAAAGAGAAAACTTGTGTAGTTAAAATGTGTGCAAAGAGAAAGTGACAAAGTTAGTGAAACAATAAAAAATGAAAGTTGACAAAGTTTCAAGTGACGGGAGGAGTAGTAAAATACACATACACCAAAAAAAATATTATAACAGACTAGACTTACACAGTATTTTTTGTCTCGTTTTGATTTCAATTGAAATAAGACGACCAATGTTGTGGAAAGTTGTTTTGTTCTGTCTTATTGATCCATTTGTATGCGAAAAGAGCTTTTACAATGTTTTTTAATATGTTATAGTACGATAGTATTTGTTAAATGTTAGACAGAATTGAGATGATGTTCAAACTTGTGACATCCTTCTTGAGAGTGTCACAATAAAGTCATCGAATTGAACTTGAAGGTATTACAAGTAACAAAATAAAGTAGTTTGAACATGAAAATATAAAAGAGAAAGATGAAAAATAAGTAAATAGTTATTTGGATAAGAGTATAATTGGGTGGAATAATTGATGAATAATTTTGCTATTTTAATTAAGTCTTTTCAAATTAGGTGGAGATGGAGTACTACTCTTTGAACTTTTCAAACTCGAATTTTCAATTTTTTTTATCGTCAACCAGCCTTCTTGCATATCATTAATTTCAGGATCATTACATCAATCAAAGGAAATATAAAATCGACACCAACTAAATTCCCACAACTACGATTGTAAACCCTATGATCAGACTTAGAGACGGTCACCCCTGAAATCGCTAACCATGTGGCGGGCTTGACATAGTCATCACTATTCTCATAGATCCAAACATACTCAATGACATAAAAAAAGGCTGAAATTCCAAACAAAACTAACAACATAGACAATAAGTCGATAACAAGAATCCAAATGACAAAAAAAAAACTAATAGGAAAACATTCATGGACTCTATCACCTCGTACAACCCATGGCGGTGGTTCCGGAGGAGGCCGTATTCTTGGTACCATTCTAATTGACCCTTCATTGTCAATCGTCATCTGATCTGCTCAAAAGCCGCGCAACTCTCCACGTCCCGCGCTTTTAGCAAATCCACCGCTAGTGGTCATCTTCATCGCTGCCATGCCCTTGCTACCCAAACTCATTCTTCCTCCCAAAAAAAAGAGAATCAATCGGATCGCCTATTGCCTCGGATCAAAACGAAAGGAAACACCTTAGCAGACCAACGTTCGAAAGCAATATAATCGAGCGCTAATCCTTACGACGTAAGCCAAACAGAAACACACAGATCGAACAAAAATGGCCGGAACCCACGATCGGAATTGATCGCCGTCGAAGAAAAAGGCTCTAGTGGCTAGGAAGCACTAAAGAGAGACGTGCGGCTAATGGGAACCTTTACAAAGTATAAGTTAATATCTCTTCTTTTAGGTAAATCTGTATATCAATTTTTTTTTCTTTCAATATAATAGTGCTTGTTATATTAGATCCAATTAAACACCGAAATATAGGAGTTTTTTCCCGGAATAATGCTAATTAAATAATTAATTCCCGAAATACTGCCGGGTTAAGAATAATTCCCAAAATACTGCTGGGGTTAACCACGGTTAAGAAAAGCCGCCACTCCAAGTGGCGGCTCTTGTACTGCTTCACAAAAGCCGCCACTTGGAGTGGCGGCTCTTCTACTTATGTATAAAAGCCGCCACTCCAAGTGGCGGCTTTTGTGTTAACGAACCTGCTGCACAATTATTTACACAAGTTAACCTGTAATTACCAAATAATCTGCTCATCACAGACTCACAGTCCATTCCACTCAAAAAAACAACCAAACATATCATCACAGACTCACAGTCCATTCCACTCAAAAAAACAACCAAACATATGATTTAATGAAACTACATGACAACATACATCCAAGACACTAAACAAATCAATGAAACTACATATTATGAAACTTTCACAAACCAAATCAATGCACCACAAAATTGAGTATAAACCATAAAAGTTATAATAAATCTGGTGTTTCACAAAATGATTCGATCTGCCAGTGCATGCTACAACTTTCACACAATAATTTAAATACAAAGATCATAAGTCAACGTGATCATCATCATCATGAAGTTCATGTAGCTGTGCTCGGGGACGCCTGCGCTGGTTACGAGGCTGAAGAACAACTCTATCACGTCGGACTGCCTGAGAAGACCCTGCTGCGGATGTAGATGCGGTGGAATGCTGAGAGGTGGCCATATATCCATAATCCACTCGACCCAATACATCAGCGCACAGTGAAACAATGCCTGAACAGGCGTCATGGTATCCCTGTACATCTACCGCCTCATCAAGTATAGCAGTCGCTCTGTCATGGATGCTACGTAAAGCCCGTGTCTGTAATGCAAACATGGTTATTAGTGAAAAACACATGAATAAATAAATAAATAAATAAATAAAGAAAGATATTTCATTGACTATATTGTTTACCGTCATATGAAGAGCGACTGAGCTAGGCTGGTAATGATCAGTGGGTAAACGAAAACTGGGAGAGATAAACACCCGTGTGATGGTGTAATACCATCTCATGTAGTCTACAGAAGCTGTGGGGACTAATGATGGGATCCCGTCCACTATATACGCCGCTCTCTCATCCCACATAGTGATATACTGAATATGGCGCATCCCCCAATCTTCAGTGTGCTTCCCCCGTCTATCAATCTTGTGCAAATCCACAGATGTATCACAAGGCCCGGGAGTAACCTGCTGCAACCCGAACTGGCGTAGTACGCGATCAGGAAAGTGATGCTCCACTACATCAAAACATATCAAGGGCACACGTGCTCGCCATATCTCAGTGTGCTCTCGGGCTACAGGAGGCAACCGCCCTAGAATCTCATCAGTGTACGGCATCCACGTCATCTTTAATATAAAATTATGTTAGACCATGGGTTATAAAAACATAAAACAAAGTACTTACATTTAATGATATAAATGATATACCTGATCATCACACAAGCGATCTAAAGCATCTCGGTAGTATCCTAATCCAGCAGCGGATGACGTGCGCGTGACATGAGCAAATAGCCATCTGACACATTGTAATGTATAAGAATATAAAAGGGATTCACGTACGTCATACAAAAAAAATCATAAACATACCTACGACCCAAAGGATCCTCGCCACGAACATGATGTGGCCCAAGTACAGCGTGCTGATCCATATCATCATCAAGAGGACCACCATCTACCCCATGATATCGCAGTATGACAGGTCTGCCGATATGAATGTGCTCCCATGACCATAGCTGTATGAGCAATAAAAACCCACCCATCTCTCCACCATCACGATGGCAACCTCGACATAACTGCCGATATAGGTATGCTAAAGTCGCACTACCCTAGCTATAAACTGCAGCTACATCAAAAGACTCTAGAATGGGTAAATACAAGACCTGCACCTCATTCCCGCTCTTGTCCGCAAACGTGGAAGCTCCCATAAGCATCAGAATGTAGGCTCTCGCGTACTGCTGCACAACATCGTCATCAGCATCAGCAGGTAAACCAACAAAATGCTCTCTCAACCAAGCCATCCTCAAGGCGGACCCCCGAATATCTGTCCCAGGGTGTGGCCGTACTCCCAACAATCTGTGTACCAAATCAACCCACAGTCTACATGCAGTCCCAGTAACTGCCCGACCCTCGATCGGTAGACCTGCCAATACAGCCACATCTCCTAATGTGATCGTGACCTCACCCACCGGTAAATGGAACGTGTGAGTCTCCTGCCTCCAACGCTCAAGTAGAGCGGTAAGTAATGCTCTATCTATATGCAGAGTCGAAACTAATCTGTGAACACCATAAAACCCAGCTAATCGAACGTAATGTAGAATCCTATCGTCAACCCCCGTGTGGAATATACTGCGTAGGTGCTCACGACACCTATCTACCTGAACATCCAGGCCATGCCACACATCCTCGCTCCGGTGCGTGGCCTGCAATGTCAGGACTGAAGGATCAATCGGTCCGGGATCCACTGACACCTGCATCGGCGCTGTAAAAGTAATAAGTGTATTAGTTATTTTATTTTATTATTAAATTAAAATTATTTATTTTTTAATATTGCTAATGCATTTGCGGAGAAAACAACAACATTACCCAGTGGAACTCCCTACGTGTCCCTCTGATCTTCTAGCACATGTCGTCTTGTTATGCCCTGTTTGCTTGCATTTACCGCATCTCACAGTACCTTTAGGGCCTTCATCCATTTCATTTCTCAATCGTTTAGCCTTCGGACGACCTTTAGCGCGAATCATCGACGGGTCATGCACAACTCGTGGTCCAGTGTAAGTAGGTCGATATGCTATATCTGGTATGGGCTTAAATACTCTTTTATAGGAAGCCGCATACTCCGATGAAGAAAAAAATTTATCAACAAAAGCATCATAGGATAAACTACGGTGTCTGCATACCGCTAATATATGTGAGCAAGGAATCTTATAGATATTCAGCTTCTGACATGTGCAATGGCGACGGTGCAAATTCACCGTTTGTTTTCTGCCACCCTTCCCCACGGTGCGACCACCACGACCCGTCTCCACTTGGTATAAACCATGGCCTATGTCAAATATTGTGACCTTGTGATGCTTTGCCTTTTCCGTATTTTTCTCTATCAGTTCGGTCACTTGCTGGCAGTAGCGATGCCCTTCTGCTAATCTTCTCTTACTAGTTTCTCTTCTTTCCACAAAATAGGCATTCACACGATAAAATGATAACTCAACTAAGGCGGTTACAGGCAGGTATCGTGCACTCTTCATGACACTATTGAAAACTTCAGCCATGTTCGTTGTTGTGGTGCCATACCTGTACCCCCCGTCGTGGTGTAAAGACCACTTCTCCAAACCAATGTTCGCTAGATATTCTCGTGCTTGTGCCTGCATTTCGCCTATCTTGTTAAATCCACCATCAAATTTCTTCTTTTGACGTTGACTTGCTGTCCAAATGAACAGATTCTTCAAGTGAATGTCTTTAAATTGAGTATGCAGATTAGAAGCGACATGCCGTATGCAAAGCCTATGTCTTGCATCTGGCTCCTCCCATCCACCACCTACCTCATTAAATGCCTTCATAATTCCAGCATGTCGATCTGAAATAACACACAATTCTCTGCGTGTGATAAAATGACGTATGCACGCCATAAACCACGGCCAACTCTCTCCATTCTCCGATTCACAGATAGCAAACGCCAAAGGGAACAGTTGATTATTAGCATCACTACCCATTGCCACCAACAATGTACCTTTATACTTCCCATATAAGTGTGTTCCATCGATGGTCAGTAAGGGACGACAATGTTTAAAGCCCTTAATGGATGGCTTAAATGCCCAAAAAACTCTTTGAAACTGCTGAACATCAGTGGTACCTGAAAGATGGAGAAAATTAGGAGGACAAATTTAAAATGAAATTTAATATGATTTAATAATGATATTAATAACTCATTGGTACCTGAAAGAGGTGGGTACCAATGCACGACTGTCCCTGGATTGGAATGTTGTAATGCCAACATGAAATGAGGCAATTCAGAATACGACGCCTCCCAATCTCCAAATATTTCACCGATAGCTTTTTGTTTAGCCAACCAACTTCGCTTGTACGAAGGTATATAGCCGTACCTTTCCTTCATAAGCTGACTAATAGTGCGGACTTTTAGTGATGGATCGGTACGAAGAAGATCAATAATTTCACGGGCTATGAACTGAGCTGTGATACCAGCATGGTCAGTGTTATCGACGTTACCTAGACAAGTAGGTATATGAGGACCTGCATAACGAACAACTTTGAACATCTCTAGCTTCTCATGTTTCTTAGTAGCCCTGATCCGCCAAGTGCAGCCACATTCTTTTCTCCTCTTACACTTTGCCACCCATTTGTGTTTGTCAGACTCTACAACTGAGAAAAATTGGTTCCTCTTTACAGAGTACGCTCTAACCATGTTGATCAGTTGTTTCTTATCATCAAACTCTTGCCCAACCTCGAATTCACCATCTGCAGAGAAGCGGCTAGAAGTTGTAGAACCCTTCCATGATTCATCAAATCCCGCAGGGAGCTCATAAACTTTAGTGTAGTGGCTGGATGGAGCATTGCCACTTACGAGATCACTACCATCTTCATCTGAATCTGTTAGTGTGTCATGGTTCACATTTTCATCTGCATCGTCGTCAGTGAACTGTGAATCCAGAAACGTTGCATCATTGTTCACGTATCTTCCATTCTCCTGTGTAACCATATTCATCACAACTGGAACACTTGTGGATGGGCAAGATAATGACGCGTTGTCAGGTTGTATGGGCACCACAGTTGCTTCTTCTACATATATCTCCATGGTATGCATATCAACATTCACGATTAAAGTCCACATTCCCATAACGGCTTCCTCGTCAGCAAGAGGCATCAACATGTATGATCCACCATGAATGGGATATTTAACCTTCAAAATCAACTTGTTCATACGATTGATGGATGTGGCGGTATAAATTTTATTCATTAATTCAGCCACATCCACCCCACGGGAAACAACAATTATCTTTCGACTACCCCCTTCATAATGAATTTCGTTTGACTCATCGATAATATTTCCTCCCCAATGACAAACAATGGGGAAGTTTGGAGACATATTCTACGAAAAAAATCATTCCAAAAAAAGTATGAACATGGAACATACAGTGAACATAAAGTAAGTAAGTAACATACAATAATTTAAAACTTAATACAGTTACTTCATAAGTAACTGCTAACATACAGTTGTCTATACAGTAACATACATGTATATTAGCTATGAAGTATGAACAGTGAACATAAAGTAAGTAACATACAGTAATTTAAAACTTCATTTATAACATTTTTATACTGTTTATCATAACTGCTACTAATAACTACTTTATAATATTATAAACTAAACTGAATTGCTAACTTCAGCTAACTTTTATATACTGTTAATTATATACTTCAGCTATAAACTGTTATAAAGCTATAATAAGATGCAGGTTGTCAACCTAACTGTAAAGTTTAACTAACCTTACAGTTAGCTACAATTCCCTTTCTAGAATTGTTTTTTAGCTATAAATAGCTAAAAATCCATGTGGTTTTTTTAAAATCCTATTAACATTTTATACTCCTATGTTTTTATTCAAATATTATAAGGTCTTAATATCCTGATAAGTCTACGCCCGATCTTCTTCGGATTGTCTACGCCTGAATACCAGTCTGATTCCCATTGAAGCAACAAATTGACATCCACAAATTTTTTAAAGGTTATCCGAAAGCAATCATGCACCCAATGTACTTCAAGAAAAATTGGAACAAAAGAAGTATATTTTGTGTCTCAATCAATGTTACCAGTGTTAATAAACCAGAAAAAAACTGAAATTTCGAGAAATACAACACCAATTTCGAACAATTTCAAGCTAAAATTAAGGAAAGAACCTAGGTTTAGCAAAGAAGATGAAATACCTCGATTCAAACTGTTGTTGACGGTTGAAGGGAGCACAAACGATTCCGGAACACAGCGCCTCTTTTCCCGTTGATTCGAGCCGCGTTTGGACGAGTCGCGCAGGGAGGTCGTTGGTTGCAGAGGTTTCGTTCGTCGTTGGTTGCAGCGGCTTCGTTCGTCGATTGAAGATGAGGTATAAATTTCTGACTAAATGAGCCGCCAGTCCGAGTGGCGGCTATTGTGAAGGAATAGAAGAGCCGCCACTCCAAGTGGCGGCTTTTCTTAACCGTGGTTAACCCAGCAGTATTTTGGGAATTATTCTTAACCCGGCAGTATTTCGGGAATTAATTATTTAATTAGCATTATTCCGGGAAAAAACTCGAAATATAGAATAGCTCGAATTTTCAATTGAATAAACTATTTTAAATTTCTCGCTGATTCTATACATTATTACTTGACTAGTTGAGTTTTCCCAAAATGAGAGTTCACACTATTTCCAATAAATGATACCATTGTTTGCTTTCTTTTAAACTGGTATTTATATCCATGTTTTTTTTTTGAAATTATTTTTATCCATGTTATGCATATATGGGGATAAAGGAATATTTAATTTTATTATTTAAATTTTGATGTGTGTATGTGTCTTAATTTTGAATGAAAAATACGACGTATGAGTTTAATCGATTATAAAAGATATCATGTAATGCATATGTAGATATATTCATTTGTTGAGTTAATCTTATTTTTAATGCGGGGAGAGATGTAGTACTCTTTAAAATTTTCAAAGTGGAGTTTTCAATTGCGTAAATTAGTTTGAATTTCTCTCTAGTTCTATAAATTATTTTTTGACTTTTCCTAAAATGAGATCACATTACTTTCAATAAATGATCGCATTGTTTGCTTTCTTTTAAATTTTGAATTGATTCTTTTTGTCATATTATTGTGTTTTTCGCTAAGTTTAATAACGATTTATAGATTTTAATTCTTTAATTAAAATAGATAGCTAGTTATTAAATATTATTAATTTTATTATTGGTTTTAAAATGTTGTTTTTTTAGTACATAGATACTATATATAGAAATGTTAATACCCGAGTACATTTTACATGAAATGGACACCTTTGGTAGTTTGGTTCCGTACACTTCAAACCATTACAAATTGTTCTAGTCCCGATTCAAATGTGATAAGAAAACGAAAAAAAGAGTAGTATCAAACCATTCCGAACCATTATTAATTACAATAATTATTCGGATCAAAATAAGCGAAATTGTAAGTTTGTAACCCCATCAAATTGAGAAATTAGATGAATGCTATATTTCTCCGGTTCTCCACCTTTCTCTTTAAAATAGTTTTCCATCTGTTAGTTACTCGTCCACATACTCTCTGATCTTCTTATTCATTTTAAGATAAAAATGTAATCGATGTATTTATAACTCTTTTACAGAATTGTTTTCCTTTTGTTTTGTAATGCATCCCCATATATTATTCTTTTTCAGACTAGTGCTAGTGTGTGTGTGAGTATGTAATGTGTGTATATTTACATATGCTTGTTTGACTACTTGTAT